AAATGTTATTTGAAGCTTATTTAAATCTAAAATTTTCATCCAATGAATTTCAGTTCGAATTTTGAATATCCTATATGTTTTAGTGACACTATAGCGGATGCACTTAGTCGTCAGTCCTCATACCATATAGATAATCTATTATAACGAATCGATTAGAAATACTTCCAACCTCCTTCGAGTCTGCAGAAAATCTTTTAACTTTATATTACATTAGATGGTTTTCTGGTGGAATCAGAGAAGTTCATAGCTTTTTTCATCTATACTGGTTGCGAACGCCGAGAGAAGGGAAGCGTAAGCATTGTTTTGAATTCAGAAATAGTTTTAGACCTCTTGAGATTTTTGCTCTATTTATATTAGATTACGAACCTTACATATGACAACAGAAAAAAATCCAGAAGACGCCTTAGGTAGGTTTCCAGCGAACGCCGATCGAAGGGAGGCGTGAGCATTGTGTTCGATTTAAAAGTCACCAAAGGGCGTTTGTTTGCGCAGATCCAACTTAATAAAGTCAAGAGACCGAGCGAGTGGAGACGAGCGTTACCTTGTTTCTACTAGTGTAACGTAAAAAAGAGAAAACACGGACTTCCATACACTCCTCTGTTGGTTAGAGAGGCCATATTGATCTTTTTACATATCTTACTTTTGGTGGCCAGCTAGCTTTCAACGAATGCTGGAGTTATCTGCTCTTGGTAGCTGTTATTAGCAAATAACTTCTTTCATCAATAAAGTAAACAATTAAACACACACAAGAAACTGTCCTCCTCACACGACAGTCAATCAGATTCTTTCTTTCAGCCTGTCGCACGCTAGCGACAGCTGTTTGTATTTTAGCGAAAAAAAATTTCGCGATTTAACGGGATTGTAATTATGCCTACGGGATGGGATTGGGATTAAGCCTACGGGACGGGATCGGGACGACAAAACTTAATCCCGCAGGGCTCTACCCGGAACACGCTCTCTGAACCAGGCTAGAACAGTTTCGAAAATGATTTTTTTATTGCTGCACTGTAAAAAATAAAGTGTGTTACTAGGTGTCTAAAATGGCCGAGACGTTCACTCGCCATCGAAAAGTATGTACTTCTGCTAGGCGTTCAATGTCAGTGTGTTAGACACCTGCGGGGCAGCCTCGAATTCCGTCCTGTCTATCCCATCCCGCAGGACAGACGGGGACGGGACAAAAAACAGATTACGGGCTTAGGCTCGGGACAAATTTTATTTTTACGGGCTGGGGACAAAATGTCCGATATTCAAATCTAGCAGATGTATATCGGTTTTGGTCTGCTGAATTTCTTTTATTATAAATCAAAATATACATTTATTTGGCTACATTTGACCATGTAATACTCTATTGTTGATTCCATTAGTCTTAGTTATCCGCATGAGAGCTCATTTGTTAATCATTATCATTATTATCATCCATATTTTCTTCCTCTTCTCCAACAAAATCGGTTCTTTGCCGTTGGTGATGATTGTGGTGTGGATGATGTTGATTGTAAACTATTTTTTCGCTTACTAAATTCTTCACCACCTGGGGGGGAAAATTTTTCGTAATGTAGATAAATTACGCTGGATAAACAGCAGGTGATTGACCCGCTCAGTTTCTAATCGTGTTGTCAGTTTCTAATCGTGTGTCAGTTTCGATTAGTGATTGTGTTACCGGTATACGAAAATAAACGTTCAGTGGCCATATTTGTAGCAGGAATGCAAAGTATTTGTTTAGCTAACTGAGCTAATATAGGATATTGAGTTTGATTCAATTTCCAATAATTTAAAATATTTGTTTCTTTTTCAGGTTTTGTTTCATCCCATAAATATAAGTCTAATTCTGTTTTGGATGATGCTGGTTTCACCAATTTACCTTTTACAACTGGTTTATCAAATATTTCATCCAATGGGTCAATATGTGTCTTTGGTATTGGATTGACTAGCTTTTTACTATCTTTCGTTTTTGTTTTATCTTGAACATTTGTATCTAATGGTGTCAGTTTATTAGACCGTTTATGCGGTTTTCAATAAGCTTTCAGCATATAATTTTTTGTCGGGTGTATGGTTAAAACTTTTTAAATTTGCATGTAATATGGTCGCAAGATAATGAACATCTTGAAGTACCCAATAATCTCTTACATGTTTTGCAATAAACTTCTTTAGTGGCGTTGTGTGAGTAGTATCATCATCATTAATAGCTGAATGATTAATCCATAACTGTTTATAAGGTATCACAAGATGAAGTGTTGATTTTTTTCAGCACTCATGCGCTCAATCACATCATCAAAATGTTCCAAATATAAACAAACAAGTTGTAATTCATCACGACTAATAGTTAGATAATTGAGCTTCTGATCATCACTAATGACATTCGGCAATTTATTGAAGACATTTAATACAGAATTCATCATTAAATGAATTCTGCCATTAAAACGTGTTTCACAATAACTTTGAACGTCAACCGATAATAAGCTTTGTTTATGACATTTTCCGACATGTGTAACAGGCTCCCGAACACTCTTAAACAATGATTGTAGTTCTTCACAATTGATGTCCTTTTTTTAAAACCATGTTCCAATATTTTGTTGAGATAATGACCGGTGCAACCAATACGTTGAACATTGTTCTTAAATGCATATGTCATTTTATTTTCATTGTCAGTAACAATATAAACATCATCGCTCAAACTTAGGCCAAATTCATCCAATATTCTCTCAACAAACGCACGTATATTTTTTGATTGTTGTGTTTCATAGTCGTAAGCTTGACAAGCTAATGTGAACACGCGTAACTCGGAATTTGAATCAACATAATGAAGACTTACACCTCCGTAATGAATTCCTGAAATATACAGTTTCTTATTCTATATCAGGCAGGAATAACTAAGAATTTAACCTGTGAAACTTTCCATTCAAAAGGCGCACGTGATACAATAATTTTTAACAGATTCACACAATGATATTAATTGGTTCTTTAATTTACTATACACACGTTCAACATTGTGACTGATCTACAGAGAAAAAACAAGAATTTTTTCAAAAACTGTTTAACTTTTCTAAAAAGAGCTCTCGTGAGGGACTTCGGAATTCGATTCTGAACAACTTCTGTACTCAGGGTTTTGCTACAAAAAGCTTGTTTCTGTCAAAACTAGTCATAAGGTGTTATGAAAAAGCCTTCTCTAATTTTCAAATCTTGAATTTCTCGAAATTTCTCTCCGTTCTCCATTCACCATAAAAAGTTGCTTCTGGTGTAGATCGATAGAGAGATGTGCGGAGAACATTTGCTACTAGAAGATATGTAAAACTTTGTTCTTTCTCCTTCCTGTTATTGGCTAATTAGCGCTAATTAACGTTAGTTTATAAATAAAT